TCAAATGTTTACTGTCGGCATAAGAAAGATTGTTTGGTTTTCACTTACTTTTTCCATTTTCTTATTCATACAATTTGTCATGATGTCTAGGTCTGCAGTACTGCATAATTGAGATTATAAAACCAATAGAAGTATATAAATTAAACCTTCTTTTTCCATGACTTTCCTTCCGCAAGCACTTGCAAGAACTTAGAGTTTGCAGTTAAAATGTTCTTTCCCTGAAATTTGAAATATACGTCTTCTTTATCGGTGCAATATGAAATGTATATTAATTGACCATACCTCTTTCTTTGCCTCTTCTAGGAGCGCTATGTACGTCAATGACCTTGAAACAATCACATTGTAAAATGTATTTTGGATTGACAATACATTCAATGAATAATATTTTCTTTGTACTGTAAAGCCGAAAGAATCAACTACTTTAAGTTAATTTATTATATTTGATGGCAGATTACGTTGTGCTAAAGATCGCGTATATGATATGTACGTTATGATATGTACTATATTTTAAATACAAATTCACCAACCTCATCATTCAGCTTGTCAGTCTGAGCCCTTAGCCATCAACTGTGTCTCCATTAATGACTGGTGTACTGGAGGCATTTCAAGCTGCAAAGTCTTAAAATCTTTCCAGCACACCCGTCCCACTTTCCTGTATGGCGCCTCTGTGTCACCCCAGACTGCCTCGATCTATAAGATTTAAACGAAACAATCATATGAACCTTAAAATGAATGAGTTGAAAATCCAGAGTCCAATTGTTCAACAACTGCCTACCTTGGTTTTACGTTCCAGTTGCGTAAGTTTTTCTATGCAATTTTCAAACTTTTCTGTCAACTGGTTGTGATCAAACTTATAAATATGCCTTTCAATAGCTGGTAGTAGATCCCTCTGGAAGATCTGGTGTTCGTAAATGGCCTCAATAGTAGGTTTCTTACGCCATTTATAGCCCATCCCTCCTTTAACCTTTTCTAAAAAGGAAATGGCGATGAGCTTTTCACTTGCCGCCTCTACAACCTTTCCAATATACAATTCGGGTGGCGTAGTGTATGCCACTGCAACAAACCCTCCAGTCTACATAAGAAAATAAATTAATGAATACACATATCTGTAGAAATTACTAATCTACATTCTGATTGATTTATTCATGTTAGAAAAAAGAAGAATAAAATAAAACAAAACAACTAAAATCAAATTAATGCAGTACAAAATTTTGCCTTTGTGTTGTAGAGTCTAAAAACATAAAGAAAATTAAAGTAATGTCATTTTTATGGGATATTTGCGAGTTTTATCAACAATAGCCCCCTTCGCCGCTCGACAATTTCATCCAACAACCTTTTTTGAAATAGGTGTATATAAAATTATGAGTATATTCGACCTTTCATCTTGTATGATTTATCTTTTGGCTAATGTTACAATATGTGTACTTCCGGTGTACCACTTCCGGTATGATAACGTAATAATATCTGTCAATCGTGTTATGTATCATGTTATGTAATTTGTTTTTAAAGAAAGGGAGATGTTACAATATGTGTACCGGTATGCTTAGGTAATAATATCTGTCAATCATGTTATGTATCTTAAGCACATGTAATCTACAAGAGACTCAGTTCAAATAAAGATGGCTTACGGTCATTGAACTCGTGAAAGAACCTTGAAAGCCTCTCCCTGATTTTGTTTGCGTGAGATCGGTGTTGATTGAAATGGCTACAAATGAAAATAATGTGATTTTGAATGCTAAATATACTTCAGCGTAAATCATGTATGTTGATTTATAGTACTCACAATTGCAATGTCATTAGGATCAATCTGAATATCATCACTGATTTCTAAAGCGTTCTCCTCTGGCAAGCTGCAATCATTCTGCAAAACCAAACATAGCATAATTCATAATCAGTATTAATAACCATTAGTCTCACTTGTAACCGCGTCATCTGAATTAGCAAAAGCTCGCCAACTAGTTTTTCCAATTATGATGGGTAGTTTCAAAGCGTCATCTTAGGATTGGATGATGGCATATATAATCAGAAATCAGCTGAAAGTTGCATGGGAATAATGTTCAGTACATACACATACCGATTGTTCTGTGCTGTCCGATTAAAATGGAATAACATTCATCACTGTCATAAAACAACAAATTGCCAGCTGGTATAGTGACCTTCAGAAAGGCAATGCATATCATTTTTAATTTAGGGAGATAAGACTACATGAAACCGCTTCCATAAAACTGCAGACGAAAATGCAACTAAAATTCTAGAATTGTCCAATTTCAAAGGTCTGATAACGTGCGTTTTCCTAACATTTAGTACCTGACATTTATATAGGATATTTCACAACTGTGGTTCCCTAAGATGTAGAGGTTGAACCATAGTTAATAGAGGGGACTCCACTCTCCTCTATTAACTATGCTTGAACTAAAATAGTTTATACCTCAACTTTTTCTTTTTTCGATACTGGATTGTCCACTCCTGTGCTGCAAAACCTAGGTGCTAAATTTTGCTGTACATACAAAGCAGATGAAGTCAAATAGTTTAACGGATTTTAATTAAAACTTTGGTCGGAAAATATTTGAAATTATAGAGCCTAACCTTTGAATATTTCCCTTTATTGCTTTCTTGTTTCTCTTTCTGGTTACAGCCTTTTTTATCATCTTCTCTATCCTAGAAAAGAAAAGAAACACGACTCATTAGCACAGAACTGAAAACAAGAATCACTGCTTTTTTGTCGACTGCTCCCAACGACAACGTACTTTTTTAAGCTTTCCTCCATGAGGTCCTTACATAGTTGCTTTTGATCAGCAAGTTGAACTTTGAGGTCTTGTACTTGCTATAAGAGATGCATGAAAAGTTAAAATAGCTGCATTATAAACAAAAAATTACGACAAATCACATGAAGCTGCATTTTCAAATTCTATAAAAATACTTTTTTCCAACACGAGGTAATCTTCTGTTGTCCGCTTTCTAATTAAATCGATTGACACCTCCAAGTCTTTTTTTTTCTGACAAAAGCTACGAACAAACAATGATTCTTTATAGTCTTATTCACTTATCAATAAAACGGGTATATTCTTCATATGTAAATGGCAATTATATTAATACATACTTCATCTATCTTTTTCTTGTCATAGTCCCTTTGGTTTTACAAAGACAAAATAATTTTACGGCATTTTTCCAATTCGATAGGCATCTGTGATAAGAGCAAACATGGCACAATTTTAATATGATATTTGAAAGCACTTGCATTTTCGTCTCTAATCGCTAATTTCTAGCTTTGCAATCTTCTGCTCCAACTAGCAAATAAAAATTACACGCATTATGTCTTAAGCACGCACTAAGCAGAAACGAGATGCCTAACTAATAATACCTTAAATTGAACTGAATTGTGTCTTGTTACACCCGCCTCAGTTTGTACTGTCAAGTTGCGCAATTAAGAGCCATAATCTGTAACGGTCAGCCCCAGCGTGTCATTCGCCAAAATTCGCCAAAATTCGCCATTCGCCAAAATTACAAACTTTGTCACAATGTTGGTCTATGGTAACTTATCACAGAAAAAATAGAATTAGGTCGATAGCTTAAACATTTTCGCAGAGAGAAGGCATTTTCGTTTTCCTGTGTTTTGGGCGAGTTTCATTGGTCCCGTTTGGGGTATGCTTCACTGTCTTTCATTTGATGAATAATTATTTAATCGAAATAAAAAATTGCACCAGTATTTACAAGGGAATGATGTGTACTTTCAAGCTTTTTTCGCTAAAATGTTATCTAAAGGTATGTTTTTACGAACTCTTAAAAACTTTCGGCAATTGTTTTCAACCTTAAAATTGCTCATCTTTCATGCCTGATATCTCCGCTGGTACATGACCTTCAAGATATTACAACCCAAGAATAGTTTGATATCTCTTCTCAAAGAAAATTAAATAAATTTTGGGGCACGGCAAAGTAGACAAGTTTTGGCGTCGAAAGCAGCTCATTTGCATAATTAGTCAGTCACGCGTTGGTCACGCAAAGACAAACAAGCTGGAAAATTTTATAGAATTCAAACTTATTTATCCTGAGGATTCTTTAAAACAACGAAAAGAATTTATTTCCAGTTTCAGGGTTAATTATGGTATTTTGATGTTCTTTACGTAATTTTTCTGGTTCTAGGCCAAGCTCTGTTCCTTAGATCATACAATAGTTTTTACTTGATTACAGTCACATTCGTAAACCTTGAAAAGTAATAAGTTTATTGTATCGTGGTTTGCACGTTTTTCAGGGAAATGTGGAAATAAATTGTGCATATTGATAATTGATAATGTTGATATTCTTCTCCGCTCTTTCGTCATTCATTGACCATGAGGAAAATGATAATACAGAAATATTTACAAGCATGAAATGATACTATTTTACTAGCAAGGAGCCCTATAACATTTATCGGGCGCAGCTACATGACATCAGCAAATCATGAAGTGCGTCTAAGTATTGCTTCTTTCGGTGAAGATCAAAGTCGTTAATGTCAATGTCAAAATATTCGCACATGCTTCGTAGCAGTGCGATGCTAATTCTCTTCCAGCCATTAGGAGAACTATTTATTTTGCAGAGATTGTAGCTGTCATATGACACAGGGTGTTCAAGTCGACATTCATTGAGAACTGTGGATGCTTCCTGGTCCTCTTCTGCAGCAAAATGTTCTTGAGTCAGGGCATCTATTGGTTGGGATTTCTTTATTTTTGAGGCTCTGCGTGAAAAGTACGATAGCACCTGCTGCTGGGTCAGAAACTCACTCATTTTGAAGCGTCGTCTTCCTTGATAGTCCTTCGCATACCTCATGTTTTTAGCGACAGTTGCTGGATCCAGCTTATGTCCCGTTTCCTGGCCAATGTCAACAGATATGCTTTTTGCTCCTCATTAAATCTTGAGCTTGACTTCTTAAAGCCCAACCCTGAGGAAGGCTTGAGGAAAGGTCTGTAGCAGGAGAAGTCTCACTTAATGGCTTTACATCGTTTTCCTTACAGTACTGAGTATATTGTTTAACAATTCGCTGTGGAATCATCGAGCGGATTACGTTTGGGGTTTCCAAAACACGGCCATCAGACAGACGCAAATACCTTTGACCAAACGGCAGATCTTGGATCACATGGGGTTAAAAATGAAAGAAAGTGGTCCAACTGCGTTTCATCAATCCTCATTCTTGGACTTTTTTGAACAAGAAGAGACGTTCCACGACCATGTTCAGCGATATGCAGCCGTGCTATCTTGAAGCGGTATTTGGTGATTACAGGAATGTACTGTTGGATCGTTCTGTAAGGTACCAAGTCCGCAAATATTACAAGGATTTGTCTTCGTGTTTCCCATGATGTGGCGTTCTCATACGTCTCAGCCAATGCTCTTAGGTGTTTTTGTTCGTCTGAAGATTTAGTTCCTAGGGCTTCATCGACTTTATGTGATGACTGTACAGCTTCCCAAAGAGAACCAGCATCATTTGGAGCAATTACTTCTAAAGCAGCCACTATTGCATCTGTAGCCTTATGGACACGCCCATTTTTGCTGCGCGAACTCATATTCTCCCATCGGCTTCTTGGTCGGGAAATTGGAGGTTCCTCGTAACCAGATACTTTTAAAAATTGATTCAACTGTTTGCATCTTAGATCTTGGCTGTAATCATTTTCACTGCTACTGCTACTTGCTTGACTAGGAGGCTCATAGAGAGACAACTTGCTAAATGCATCTTCTAGATCGTCAATATCGCTGTCGACGTCATCACCACTACCAAAGTTTGTCTGAAAGCAAAAAGTGATTATGAATTTTTAAATTTTTCAACATTGAATCAACGAATCCGAAACTCGCATGTTTAACTAATATTGTACATACATGCAATTTATCCTCAGTGGAAGATGCCGAGGGTGGATCTTTTGCACTTTTCACGGCATGATCCTCATCAAATACTGTGTTGGTGACTAGAGACTGCTCATAAATAGGAACGAGATCATTTTAACATACAGAAAACGCTGAAAAGTACCACACACACGCTATAATATGTTAGTTCCTAAAATTAATATTGTTCAAACCGCTATACGCTCAAGAAAAAAATAAGTACACAAAAAAACAAGTTAACACTATAAAAAAGATAAATGAGTGAATGACTAAATGATCGGATGAACGTATGGATTAATAACTACTGCGCACCAATAAATAGGTAATGTAAATTAATCTTGGGTATAGTTCAAAAACTTGTACTGTATAACAATGTATAAATTAAAAAAAAGAGCTGCTTTTTGAAAACCAACTACTCGAAGCAAGAACTGCAATCGAAAATATGGTTTGCATGGCAGTTATCATTATCTTTTCGGACGTTTTGTCGGGTTCATAAGGAAGAGGCAAGGATAAAACCGGCTCTGGATCAAGAGAATCGTTCTCTGCTTTTAATTCAGCTCTGCATCTTTTACAAATTGCTGCAGATTGAAACAGAACGAGAAGTGTAACTCTGTGGTCAAACGCATAAATAAGCACGCTCAGAAACTACTAAAAGATGAACTGTATCAGGGACCACGGAGCATGAAATTGTTTGACGGGGGGGGAGGGGGGGGGGCTAGCGGCGAGGAGGGACTAAGAGAAAGGGATGGGGGACGGTGCCGTCGGAAATGTTTGAAATCTTAACTCTCGGAAAAGTCATTTCCAGCGTTTTTAGGCGTTCTCAAAGACATTTTTATCGCACGGTCAGCGATATTATCAATAAATCCCAAAGACTTCAATTTTAATTGTTCACGCTCAGTTTTTAAACAATTTGTATAGAATATATATGGGAAATTTCATAAGTAGGTTCTTCGCTTCTTTATTTAAGAAAATTCAAAATGTCGGAAAAATGTGCGGTCCATGTGTATGGAGTTTAAAGTGAAAGAATTTGTGAAATGTTGAAATAATGGAAAATGTAAGAATTAATTGTACTTACGTGAGCCATCTTATTCCAAAATAATCTCTGTGTTTGGGACAAATGGTAGTCTTCATATGCTGATTTGATTCTTTGACAATGCCTGAAAAAGTACATTCAATATTATGAAGTTGTTTCAATTGGAAGTAGTAACTGTTTAACTCAATCCATCAAATACAAAGGTTCAGCGATCAAGCATCATTATAACAGAATACTTACCTGCCCTTGCTAAAAGCAACTGTCCTTCATTTTTTTATTGTCGCATCCCTCACATTTAATGACTTCAAATGTCCATTTATGTCTCTTTGGCAACTTTCAATCAAAACGCAAGATTCTTCTCCGGTTTATTCTGCGCTAGATCCACATTCTCCGCTAACAAATACCGAGAAACCGCACTTCGCCATCCTCGCGAGTCCGTCACTGTCGTCTAGTTCTGTTATGTCGAGTTAACACAAAATAGCAGACAGAAAGAATGTCTCCAGTGTTATGTTTAATTAGACTTCCATTAGTTTAATAAATGTTAAAATTATACATTAAAACGTATAGACAAAAGCCAACAAAGAATATACAGTATATATAGTATAGGTCCTAAATTTTAAAATGAGAAAAAGGCAAATTAGATCGTTGCTGTAAAAAGGGAAAAAAGGGCTTCTATCGACTATCGACGTAATGCTAATTAGATGATTCTTTCCAAAAATCGGCGAAAAAAAAACAAACCCTAATCGATCAAGTTAGCTGAAATATCATATAT